TGCTTTACATTCATACAATGGAGTACATCTCTACAATAATAACTACTGATATACTCAACGAATGGGAAGGATTTCATAGACATTGTGGTGAGTGGAAACATCCAGACACAAAAGGTGACATACTTTGTCATTTCATTTAAATGAAATCCTTAAACTGCTGAAACTAAACTACAGTGTGTCATGTTACAAGAACTCTAGTGCCAACATGTAAAGGTTTTCCATTAGCTAAAAATGGGCATCTAGGATAATAACTGCAATAGATTGCAAACACATCAAATATGTTTACATATAAGACTTTCAAATGACAACAAAAATAATTTGTTTATAATTTGGAGAAGGCTAAGGAACAAACTTGTGAATGCTTGTAAACAAAAGAGAAACTATCAAGCACTTATTCTGCCCTTCCTGTATCATTGATACTATATAATCACTAAGAAGAGGTTCCTTTTCATAGAATTGTTATAGCTAATTCATAAAGAAAATGTGATGAAATTAGTGACCATTTTGAAACCACTACAGAAATAATGTATTTTGACACTGAGCATCAATGACTGCTAATATCAACTACAGGCAAACAGAAGACAGCCAGATGTTATATTACTTATGATGGATCTGTGCTCTGACATGTATGAAGTATCCTTGACAAAAAAAATAAATCTGAATCGGCACCACCTCTGTATCTATCAAATTACAGAAAATATAGGTAACGGAGGACACGTTAGATGATACCAGAAGACTGCTATCAGAAAAATTAAACTGTGGAAAACTACAAAAAAATACTGTCTCTTCCATATGTAGATTGCAAGAATAAAATAATGTTTGGGAGAATTTATAGATTAAAAGAGACTTCAGAGATATTTCTGTCATTTGCAATGTATGAACTTTACTTGGATTATGATTTGAACAAATGCTTTGTTAAAATTCTATGTGGCAGTTAGGACAATCAGGAAATATGAATGGTGGCAGAATATTTGTTCATTTAAAGAAATGTTTGTGAATTTTAAAATTATTCTAAGTATATTGTGGTTATATTTTTAAAGTGTTCTTAGTTTCTACAAAAATTACTAAAATACTTGTAGATATTATGTTATTTTATATTATGTTAGGGATTTGCTTCAGAATAATTTGGTAAGTGGTGTTAGTGTGGTGCTGGTTATAGATGAAACAAGATTTTCTATTAGCTGCCAATTATTAAATCTTGGTTAATAGGTAGTTTGAGGTCTTTTATACAATTTTCTCTACCACTGTATATATTTGAAATTTTTTATAGTAAATTGATTTTTTTTTTAAGTAATGTGTCACTCTATTACTGAAGTCAGGCATGGATTTTAGTTGGTGAATCACTGAGCACCATCAAAACAAAGTGGTAGCTGACAACAGCATATACAACAATATAATGCTAAGTGAATGTCCAACAGATACTTGCAGATTTTATTCACTGCTTTCCCTTGACTTTTAAGCAATAACACATTTTGCATCACGTAGTTCTCATATCCGGTTTACCATTCATAGAGATCTGATCTGAATTGTTTAAAAAAATGTATTCTGTCTTTGTTGATATTTCGAAGATCACAGAAGACATAAATGCCCAACTTATTTCTTCTTAGTAATCAGTCTAGTCAGTATGATCATTGCCTTCTTGAAATAAAATTTTATCCATTTTAGTAAGACATTCTGTTCATTCTGACTTAATCGCTTTTTTTTCCTTTATACAATCTTGAAATGTAAGTGTTATCTAAGAGTTTACCCAGGCAATCTTGTTGACTATACCCTGTGAGACAACACAAGCCAAATAAAGAAGTCATTTCAGGAACGTTCAGAAAGGTTAATGTAAAGATTCAACATGACAGAAAGGCTGTATTTGGCTATTTACCTTTGAGCAGGGAGGAGGATGATGGTAGAGATGTAGTGGGTTTTCATTACTGAGACCCAGCAATGATCAGATACTTGGCAAATCATTGCAGAATGAAAGAGTAAAATACAGGATAATTAATAGTGCCATATATTGAGGAGACAGTGAATATAAACATAAAAATCTGTTGTAAATTGTATTTAGATACTCCTCAATTGTTTCAATAAATATATTGCAGTGAATAAAATTAGCATGATTATTTTGAGACTATGGCAAGGTGAAAAGCTGATTACAGTTGTTTGAGGAATGATCAGGAGTTAAGAAGGTCTATTCTGAATAGACTAAAATAACCTAATGGGTCAACTTCTCAACCAAGAAGATGTATTTTCTATAGATATTTATTAAGTTTGCTTATAAGTACCTACACCTAAATCTATTATTATTGTGAAACTTTCAAAAATTCCCTCAGGCAGAAAGGATGTTTTTTCTTTGATCCCTCAGACATAATTGCCTATTGCTATCTAGCTTTATTCTATTTTGTCTTATATGGTATTTACTAACTCATCAAATAAAGATGAATTCTTTGTATGTGTAATATAGTTCTTCAGTACTGTACTAAATGTCCAAGGAAATAAATTTAATCAAAGAAATTTTATACCTGTGAAAAGAACTTCTAATTTTAAGGTCTCCAGAAAGAAGATTCTACAGATTTTCTTAAAGTAAACGAAATAGCTAATGTCTGTTTATCTAGCTATCTTGTTTACACTGAGACCCAATAACAGTTGGCAACTACTTAGTTTAAAAACCTGTGAGGAAGGCTGCCAGTTTCTTACTAACCATCTATCTCGTCTTTTTCAGTAACTGAACCTCTGTGTTATTTTGGATGACAATGGGCCCAGTGGTTAGCAACTACCGCTATAATTTTCTCCTGCATAAATAGGGTTTGCATGGAATTTAAGTAAAATTCTGATACAGCATCTAAGAAAACTCACTTCATTCTTTCCTTCATTGACTGTGGATGTGATGGTTGGAGCTCCAAATACATCTGTAAGGTAAACTTGAGAACAGAAGCCAAATGCTAAGGATGGAGGAGGACAGAGATAGAAGGAGATTGAATTTTAGCTTATATTGCAGTTACCATACCTGATCTTGACTACCTACTGTTAAAATTTGTATATATAAGAGAAAAATAGACACTGAGTTTAAGGCATTGTGTTGGCAGGGAGGAAGGGTTTGACTACCCACTAAATGAAATTCCTCTGTAATATGCCTCACATATATTTTAAGATATACTAAATCAATTATATTTTCCTTAGAATTATTACTTCCAGCTCTTTAAACCTTAACTTGTTGATTAATTTACTGGCTATTAGCATTTCTAGGACTGTTGCAGAATCTATCCATATTTTCCATTTTGATGATGGCTCTGTAAAAGACATAAAAGTACCAGGAGGCTTTCATGTAGAGAAAAGAAATGTGTAAGATTATATAATGAGAATTTTTTTCTTATTATGATATGGATAGCTAGTTATGTTATGTGCCATTTAGAAATAGAAGAAACATTGCATTATTCTTAAAGACTGAAAGAAAAACTAATGTAACGTTTTTGAAGATAATAACATCAAAAGTAACTATGCAATTTCTCTAAATATACATTAAGTCTTAAAGACTGAAAATGAACAACATGAATTTGCCTCCTGGTTGCAAATCTCATATTTTTTTTCCAAATTGGAGCCAGATGTTTCTAAATATCTGTCCTCACAGAATATTCCCAAAGATTTTTACATGTGTAGTTTTTTTGCTGTAGTTTGAAGTTAATTAGATTTTTTTCTATATTGAATGCAATTAAACTACATTCTGGGCATACATAATTCTGACTTTTAGAAACTTAATTCAGTTTACCCAGTTTATGGAGTAGTTGGCATTTAATACATTTTATAAAATAATCTATTAGAGTTTACAGAAAGCATTAAAGAGTAAATAAAATGTAGATAAGGGGGTTAGGGAAAGAAAAATTTCTATGCACTTGAGATGATAAAAAATAAACTTAGAATAGAATCAGCTTTATCAGTAATGCCTGTTCAAAATGATTTGCTTTTTATGGTTCAAAGTTCACTATAAAGGATCTTTGAAGAGTTAACATCTGTTAATGATTTTCATATTTTTAACAAGGATGATGTGGTTCTATTAGTGGTCATGCTATTAGGTTTGTATATTTAAGCATACTTTAATACCCTATTTGAAGATATACCTTGGGCTTCATTTTTTTTCATTTGCAAAGTAATTATCAGAATAATCCTTCTGAACCTGCCTCAACAACCGAGTTTCTGAGAGTATTTTGTTTTTCTCTGGTAGGTACTTCCATGAAACTGTCTTTTATTCTCCTAAAAATATTGGTATAAAGTCTTTGGAAGGAAATGCAAAGAGTGGATAAAATGAGAATTGAAGTTGACAGCTGTGGACCTAAAGGGATTCAGGACTGTCTGCAAACTACAGGAAGGGGGAAGGAGTTCTCCTTACAGAACAGATATAGAGATGAACTTACTGTTTTCTTGCAGTATTTTTTGTTTGTTTGTTTCTAGTCTTCAAAGTTGGAAAAGTTTTCTGTTTTCCCATTGCAAAGAATTGGACTACAAAATTGATGAATTATAAATTAAAGTACATAGTTGTAGTGTTTAGTTTTATTTTTGAGTTGTGCATTTTATAACACAGGTTATTTACTCCAAACTTATTTGCTCAAGTTTCTCAAGTACTGTGCCATGACTTACACATTTACCATGGTCATCCTTAAAATAGGAGAAATTTGAACATCAACATTTATTTTGAGGCACCAACATTTATTTCCTCAAGTGTTATGCCATGACTTGCACATTTATCACAAGGAAGGGCATGTAGCTGATGCTGCCTTCCTCAGCTTTCAGGCAGCAATCTTCCATTTACCGTTGGCATCAATGCAGATTGTCAAATGCACACCTGAACTTAAAATTTGGGGATAATTCAGAAAAAATTGTGAGGTGTCTATCCTAAAGATGATGTATTATTTACACTTATATAGACGCAAATTAAACTTGAGAATAATCATTAAACATAAAATAGTTCCTGGGATCTGCTATACTCAATTAAATAAATCCAATTCATTTTTCTCCAGTTCTACATCAGATTGTTGGGGAAGAGTGAGGAATTCTGGATTTGGAGCTTGAGATCCTGGATTCAAGTTCCAATTCTGCAGCTTATTATCTCTACCACTTTTGAGGTACTGCTATGTCTCAGCATAATTCTTATCTAAAAGGGAATGATTGAATAAGTGTATAAATAGTACAATTTCTGTGTTCCCAGTGTTCAAAAGTTCACAAGTATTTTGTTTGTATGTTGCTACTATGAATCAATATTAAGTTTGATGTAACATTAACCTTAACATTTCAAATCACTTTCTGAGTTACACTTTAAGCCTTGGCTCTAAATGCATTATTGTGAAGTAATATCCATGTTCTAATTTTCTCATTAGTTAGTATGCCCTTAGCATATGGCACCATATGCTGCAACATTACAAAAAATTGCCATAGCGTAACTTTATTACTGCAAATCATAACATTGACAATGCATGATTTAGTAAGCACGGTGATATTTTTAACAGAACCTTCAAACAATTATTATAGCATATTTATTATGCACTTCATCATAGCCTTGTTTGTAGTCTCAAAGACAGTAACCAATTTAGTTATACCAAAAAACCACATAAGGCATGAAAAATATGGTCAATAATTGCTGTACATATGTACTGTCAATGTGGTATTTAAGAAATGTGTGTATTACTATTTTCATGTAGTCTAGTTAAAATGATGCCCTCTAAAATAAAAGATCACCCCCAATCATAGAAAGAAATAGAATATACTTTCTGAAAATGTTTAATTACAATTTTGTGCATATCCTAGAATTACTTAATATCGATGTAAACATTTTTTATTAAAAATGCATTTGCCTGTTAACTTCTTTTCTTGAAATACTCATTAGACTTTTTCTACAAATGTAGGCTTCCATACTCCTGCAGGGGACTGCCACTTTTTATCCTTGCATTTTAGATATAGATGTCTTCTGTTAAAATTAATTGGATATGGTTTCTAATTAGCAAATTGAAAAGTGTGAAGGGACAAGAGTAAACGATGGCATTATACCACTAACCACCTGATATGGTTTGGATGTTTGTCTCCTACAAATCTTATGTTTAAATGTGATTTCTAATGTTGGAGGCGGGGCCTGGTGGGAGGTGATTGAATTAAAGGAGCAGAACTCTCATGGATGAAAGCGTATCTCTCATGCATGAAAGCAGATCTCTCATGAATAAAAGCAGATCTCTCATGAACAAAAGCAGATCTCTCATAAATGAAAGCAAATCTCTCATTAATGCACCATCCCCTTGGTGATAAGTCAATTCTTGCTCAGTTAGTTCACAGGAGATCTGTTTGAAAGAGTCTGGGACCTCCCCTGTGTTTCTCTCTTGCGCTCTCTTTGGTCACATGATGGCAGTTACTTTCCTTTACCAGAGTGAAAGTTCCCCAAGGGCTCACCAGAAGCCAAGAAGATGCTGGTGCCATGCTTCCTGTATAGCCTGCAGAATGTGAGCCAGTTAAACCTCTTTTCTTTATAAATTACCCAGTCTCAGGTATTTATAGCAACTCTAAAAATGACCAAATACCATCTGCCATCTTTTCAACTGGTAAGCTCTTTCAGAGTTTGTTGCTTCAGTTACATGAGCCTGTTCCCCAGGTGTAGTCACTTGCATACCTCCTGTGTGTATATATATTATAATTTATCCAGCTTTATATATTTTGCTAGGGTAAAATATTGTTCCTTTGTGTGTTTCTATACCCTAAGGGGAGGTGTGGAACTCCATGTCCATAAACTTTTAATTGAAAAATCCTTAAAGCCAAAGATTCTTTTAAAATAATTTTTTTTAACAGAAGGAAACAGTCTTAGGAATAATAAAATTTACCTGGTTAATTTTACTTTTGACAGGAATAAAATCCAGTGAGACTCAACAAATTTTCAAGTTACACACCTCAGAATGACAGATTTGGGACCAGAATCTAGATCTCGTGTATCTAATGGTGTTCTTTGAACTGCATCCAAGTATTCTTGTTCAATAAGGAGGAATGTGGAACAAATCAAGTAGGTAGGCATGAATATTTATTATTACCAGAGAGTAAGGGATCCAAAAGTTCTGAGGTGTTATCTCTTTTTGACACTTACTGCCTATTACTGGAACTCATCTTTTGAATAAGGTATGAGAATGGCATTATATTCTTGCTTAAATTTTGGTCCTTTTTTAACAAATTGTTTAGCATTCTCTGCTACACATTGATTTGGTAGAAAACATAAAGGTTCTGCATAATATCAACCAATATTCTATCAGTTATGTTTATGTAAATGTACATGACTAAATTTATATTAAAAATTTAAAAACTAAAAGTAGCTGTGATTATCCTAAAATAGAGCAAATTTGAATATCAACGTTTATTTTAACTAAATGATGATTGGCACAATGACAGACAAATAATCTAATAGAATAGACTACAGGAAAAGGTGTACACATGTGCAGTGACTCTTTATTTATGATAAAGATGTACCTGCAAATTATAGGACAAGAGTGTTTTTTCCCTGTGAATAGTGCTGGGTCTAATGTACATATAAAAAGAGAGGAAAATCCTCAATCAGTAGTTGACACACTAGACAAATTTCAATTCCAGGTCAATTTTGTATCTAAATATAAATGATAAATAATAAGGCTTCTTAAAGATAATAACAAATATTTTTATGAATGATTACAATACAGGACATAAACAATACTAACAAAAATATTAGTAATGCTTTCATTAAAATTGAGAATTCCCATTTATCAAAAGATACTATTATTAAGAGAGTAAGAAGTCAAGTGAAATATACCTCCTATATTTCAGTAGGTAAATATATTTTCAATGTATGTAATGGTTAGAAGTGTCATGTTCAATATACATTAAGAGCTCCTCCAAATGAATAAAAATTGGACAGATGGTCCAATAGAAAAATGTATGAGAGAACTAAACAAACTTCGCACAAGAGGATCTCCAAATGGCCAATAAATACATTATAATATGCTTAACTTCATTCCACAGCAAATAAATGAAATCTCAGTACAATAGCCTGCATATCAACCATAATGACTGAAATTAAAAATACTAATAATACTAAGTACTCACAGTAATGTAGAGCAATCCTGTTTCTAATGAGACAATAACTTGTTAAATCTTTCTAAAGCTTAGTATGTATGCACTCTATAACCTAAGAATTCCATTCCAAAGTATATTCTCAACAAATGTGTACATATGTGCGCCAAAGGACATGCACAAAAATGTCATAGAGGCATCATTTTTTATATATTTTTACTGTGGTGAAATAACATTAAATTTTGCCATGATAACCATTTTTAAGTGTACAGTTCAAAGTATGAACTATATTTAGATTTTTGAGCAACTGATCTCTAGAAATTTTTCATCTGAAACTCCATCCCCATTAAACACTCTTCCATATATCCCTCCCCCGATGCTTGGCAACTACCTTTCTGCTATTTCTATCCCTCTGACTAATTCAAATATTTTGTAGGAGTAGAACCATATAGTATTTGTCTTTTTGTGACTACCTTAATTTGCTTAGCATAATATGTTTAAGTTTGGTCCTGTTGTGGCATATGATAGGATTTATTTTCTTTATAAGGCCAAGTAATCTATTGTGTGAACGTATCACATTTTCTTTGTGTATTCAACTGTTGATGAACATTTGATTTGCTTCCACCTCTTTTGTGAATGATAATGCTATGAATATGGATTTGCAATTATAACTTGGACATCCTGCTTTGAATTCTTTTGGTAAATACCCAGAAGCGGTATTGCCAGATCACATGGAGCTTCTATACTATTCTTTATAGTCACAAAACCATTTTACATTCCGACCAATAGTGCACAAGAGTTTCAGCTTCTCCACATCCTTGCTAATGCTTGTCCTTTTCTTTTCATTTATTTATTTTTTGATAGCAGCCATCCTAATAGATGTGACATTATAACCTCATTGTTGTTTTGATTTTGTTTCTCCGACAATTAGTAATGTTAAACATCTTTATATTTATTAACTATTTGTATATCTTTTAGATATTGCTGATTCACATTCTTTGCTCATTTTTAATCAACTTTTATTGTTGTTAAGTTGCAGAAGTTCCTTATAAATTCTGGATATTAATCTCTTATCAGATATATGATTTGCAAATATTTTTTCTCTGTAGATCGCCCTTTTACTCTGTTGACTGTTTCTTTTGATGCACAGAAGTTTTTGAGTTTGATGTGGTCTTGTTTGTCTATGTTTGCTAAAAGCAGCATTATTTTCACTAGCTCCAAGTGAAAACCTCCAAAATGTCTATTGTTAGTGGATCAATAAATAAGGTGTGGCATATTTATATCTTAGAATAATATATGACAAGAAATATGAAATAACTGCTGGTAAATCAATAGTATAAATCTATTCCACAAACATATATTCAGTGAAAGAAACCAGCCAACATCGTATACTGTATGCTTCATTTATTTAAAGTTTAAAAATAGGAAAAATTAATCAAGTCTATTATAATTCACAGAGAAAATACCTTTAGTGATAAAGAAAGGGCATGAGGGAAGCTTCTCGTGTGGCTGCAATACTAGCTATTTTTCTTGACTTTGGTGATAATCATCTTTGTATACTTATTTTGAGATAACGATTTGAACCCTGCACATATGAATTGAACATATTCTGTGTGTATGCTACGCTTCACTGAAAAATATTAAGAATAAAACTTACCAAGAAATGAAAATTTGAGCATTATTTCCATAGCCTGCTCATAATCTCTAAAGCTCTAGTCCTTTCCTTGTTTAATACAATTTTCAATTCAAACAAACTTTGATTTCTCTGTATCTATTTTTACAACCACACGTTACATAAAATTAATCCTGTTGTTGATATCTATTACTATCAGCCAGTTCACAGGATCACAGATATTTGTAGCACATGGAAGAAAGAAAAATTTGAAACATTCCTAGAAAAAAATTTGTTTAGCTGCATTTATGTCACTTGGAGAAGAATATAATCATTTCTCTACTAAATTACCTACACAGATAATTTAAGGCCTAGAGTGCAATTAAATTAGCTTGGTAGACATTTAATCACAGGAATACAATATACTCGGAGATTTGAGAGTGAGCTGAGAGCCTTATTTGCAGCCTTATTTCTAAAAGTTTCATTAATTTTAAGCCACATTCTGGTGAGTCTGGCTGCCTAGTTGATATTGGGAAAGGAACTGAAGGATATGGCTTCTATTTATTCTGATCTGTCTATATCTGAAATGGAATTATGATAATATTCTTTAGTATATTTTACATCTCCAGGCATCTAGAAATGATTTCTCTGAAGCAATACACAGACAAAGATCAAATAGATGATGTTTTTTAAAAATGTTCTATCTCAAATAAATAACCCAAATGAACAGAAGTTTATATAAGGAGCCTAAAGACAACATTTAGGTCATCAACTAATATATGAATAAATTGTGGATACCTAAAGCAACTATTTATAAGCAAGATAAATTTTATATTGGTATAAATACTAATGATATGGATGGAGATTTTAAATTTTTGATGAGTTCAAAGTAAATGGTACTATTCAACTTCTCTCAATAGTTCATGTTTGCTTCTATGGATAATATTTATATTTGCTATTTTTGTGGCAAGTAATATAAATAATTATGAACTTAATATAGTTTGTGCAGTCCCACATTTTGTTGCCTTATTTTTCACTTGAGTTCATTTCATCTGCTAATACATACTTTGTATTTTTCTACGTTTCTATGTTCTTTACTGCAAAAATAACATTTTTGAACAGATAAATATAATGGCACACAATCAAGGTGGAGTATAACAATCTACATATTGATGCTATATTAGAAACATCTTTTTGTAGACGTGATAAAGAATATAATTTTCTTGTATGTCTTTTGTAAAGTATCTGTTCATATCCTTTGCCCACTTTTGAATGGGCTTGTTTGTTTTTTTCTTGTAAATCTGTTTTAGTTCTTTGTAAATTCTGGATAGCAGCCCTTTGTCAGATGGGTAAACTGTAAAATTTTTTTCCCATTCTGTTGGTTGGCGATTCACTCTAATGACTGTTTCTTTTGCTGTGCAGAAACTGTGGAGTTTGATTAGGTCCATTTGTCTATTTTGGCTTTTGTTGTCAATGCTTTTGGTGTTTTGGTCATGAAGTCTTTGCCTACACCTATGTCCTGAATGGTTTTGCCTAGATTTTATTCTAGGG